AGCCGATGTTTCGCCATCACACATGTTTGTTATCCTACTTTGACTCTCAATGTCATTTGTTGGGTGTGATGTTTATCATTTGATGTTTCGTCATCTTTGATATGTCGCCATGCTACTATTTAGTCAATGTTTTATCATCTCATCTGTTTGTTGTTTTACTTGATGTTTTACCATCTCGACTATCTTTGGTTGTCTTAATTAAAAACTCAAACCAACCAAAACACATAAGCCGAACTACGGCTGCTCTGATTCCTTAAAAGGGATACGTAGGCATTGGGGTAGGGCCCAACTTAGCACAACTTTTATTTTCCCTACATTATTTTCTTTTTCTTCCGCATGCATTCCCTTTTTAGTTGTAAACCATAGACATAGGATTTGACCATACCCATTAGATTAGACAACAAGAATGGATACTGTAGAGTACTACGGACGTGTGGGGTGCTAACAACTTCCCCTCGCGTAACAGACTCCCTTACCCGATCTCTCGGTCGCAAGACCGTGATTTCTCCCTTTATAGGTTTTCCCGATGTTTACCTTTCCCTTTCGGCGGGATAAAAGACGTTCGATGGCGACTTCATTGTTCGATGATTTCCAGCCGGTGGTTTCAAGGGTTACTTTGGAATGAAAGCCTAGATAGTAGGGCTGCTTCGGAATGAAAGCCTGGATAGTAGAGCTGTGAGAAGGAACCTGGATAGTAGGGTTACTTAGGAATGAAAGCCTGGATAGTAGGGTTGTGAGAAGGAACCTGGATAGTAGGTTTACTTCGGAATGAAAGCCTGGATAGTAAGGCTGTGAGAAGGAACCTTGATAGTAGGGTTACTTCAGAATGAAAGCCTGGATAGTAGGGTTGTGAGAAGGAACCTGGATAGTAGGGTTACTTCGGAATGAAAGTCTGGATAGTAGGATTACTTCATTTGATCATGTAGATTAGTTGACCCGTTTGGGTTTCGGGAACTGATTTTTCCTTTGTTGCCTGTAGATATGACATGTATAATTGCTGGTATTGTTGGTGATAACTGTCTTTCCTGAAAAGATAATAGGGTTATTCATATGCGATGTATGAAATGCGTTGTGAGATGATGTTCTTAAAATAAACGAGATTATGATGTATGTGATATGTATGCGTATGTCATGATGTATGAGCATGGTAGTTGTGACATATCCGAGTCTGGGAAAATAAATCCCTGACTGCTGCTGGGGAAAATAGCATTCCTGACTGTTGTAGAGAACCGTGGCTCTTGTACTTCCGATGGGGATGATGAATGGAAGTGTCTATCCTGGGGATTTTCTCCTTATTTAAGGATGTTCTATCAAGGAGAGACTCTGCTTGAAAATAACTCTGCGGGGAACCACTTGAAAGGAGAATTTCCGATAACTGAAGTAATGGCCTCTGTCGGAGGTTGAGCTTCTGTATCCAGAGAAACTCTGCTTGGGGAATCAGAAATTTGTTATGATCCACTCGTGATTATGAGATCCAACTGGGGGACATAGGTGTCAGGTTTCTGTAGGATCATGGCTAGGGAGATCACTTCCCGTTCTGAGAGAACTGATACTTTGATTACTTCTGCTCTGTAGGGAATGCAGATATTACAAGGTCATATGTACTGATGACTGTACTCCAAAGTTTTCTCTCCTGGTACCTGCTTGGAATGAGTAACTATTGGGTTTGACATTTCCTATTTTTTCCCCCTGTTTCCGGAGTTACGAGTAATTGTCTTTGGTCTCTTTATGCAAATATTTGTGAACAACAATATATTCAAATGCACATGTCAAGAATAAATCATTGGACGTTATTTGCAAAAACAAAATAGAAAAAGAGAAATAAATAGTTTTGTAAAAATGACTTGTATTAATTTTGAAGTTGGCCTATAACAGGCGCTTTTTGTACAAGGAAGTTGACGCTCTAGTAAGAGAACACCGCCGTAAAAGTGAAAGATATACAGTATTATGTATAGTGAAAAGAAAACAGCTATGTGCAATAATCCCATTGGGTTTCAAATCTGCTATTGCCACTATGCCTTCGAGCGTCTCCTCACCTTGTTGCTTGTCCAAAGCTAATTAGATTGATTGATGTTGTTTGATCTTGATAGTTGATACTGAGGTCAGACTGCAGGGTGATCCAATGGGACATAGTGATACGCTTTCCATCCCTAACTTTTGCCTGGACCACCCTTTCGGGTTTTTGGTCCACCGGGATACCCTTTTTTGCCCAAGTCGCCTTTTCAGGTTTTCAACTTTTCGGTTGTACATATTTTCATTTTCATCCCTTATTTTTGCCCGAACCCTTTTGGTTCGTCGGGAAGCCCTTATTTTTTCCTAGGCCAGTCAACCTAGCGGGCCTTTTATCATGCGTAGTATCTTTTCACTATGTCTTCATTGACAGGGTGAGAAAGGTCGTCACCGTCCATGGTGGTCAGGATCATGGCTCCACTTGAGAAAATGTTTTGAACCACAAATGGCCCTTCGTATATGGGAGTCCATTTGCCCCTGGGGTCACCTTGCGGCAGTATGATGCGCTTGATACTAGATCTCCAACTCGATATTCTTGACGCCTGACTTTCTTGTTAAAATCCTTGATCATCCGCTTTTGATACATCTGACCATGGCATATAGCAGTAAGTCTCTTTTCATCGATTATATTTAACTGATCAAGTCGGGTTTGGATCCAGTCGTCTTCGTTTAGGCCTGAATCTCTCATAATCCTTAGGGGAGGAATCTGAATCTCAATGGGTAGGACTGCCTCCATGCCATATACCAGAGAGTAGGGTGTTGCTCCTGTCGATGTCCGTGCTGAGGTACGGTACCCATGAAGAGCGAATGGTAGCAACTCATGCCAGTCTTTGTATGTCACTGTCATCTTCTGTACAATCTTCTTGATGTTTTTGTTAACTGCTTCGACAATGCCATTCATCTTCGGCCGGTAGGGAGAAGAGTTGTAATGCTGTATCTTGAATAGTTTATAGAGCTCGGTGATCATTGTGTTGTTGAGATTCGTACCATTGTCTGTAATGATCCTCTCTGGCACACCATATCGACAGATCAGATTATGTCGGATAAACTGCGCCACCACATTCTTGGTTACTGTGGCAAAAGAGGCTGCTTCAACCCACTTCGTGAAGTAATCAATGGCTACTAGGATGAAGCGATGCCCATTAGAGGCGGTGGCCTTGATTTCTCCAATTATATCGATGCCCCACATTGCAAAGGGCCACGGGACTGTCAAGACGTTCAGAGGAACCGGAGGTATATGCACCTTATCATCATAGATTTGGCATTTATGACAAGTTCGAGAGTGCTGATAACAATCGGCTTCCATGGTGGATCAGTAGTATCATACCCGTAGGATCTTCTTAGCCATGGTGTGTCCACTGGAATGGGTTCCGAATGTATCTTCATGTAGATCTGTCATAATCCTTTCTGCTTCGCTCTTGTCTACACACTGTAGTAAGATAGAGTCATGGTTGCGTTTATAGAGGATTCCATTACTGAGGAAGAACTTTGCAGCGAATCTCCTCAGAAACTTCTTATCATTGACAGATGCCCCTTCGGGATACTCTTGAGCCTCGAGATACCTTTTGACTTCGTGAAACCAGGGTTTGTCTCTTACCTCTTCGGTATCGATTTCACAGCAGTGTGCCGGTTTATCCAACCTTTCCATGGTGATTCGGGGAGCTTCGTTGTCCCATTTGACTTTGAACATGGAAGACATGGTGGCTAACGCGTCCGCCAACTGATTCTCCTCTCGTGGGAAATGTTCAAAGGTCACCTCCTCGAAGTGTGGGAGCAACGTCAGTACATGCTCTCTATACGGGATGAGATTCAGATGTTTTGTATCTCACTCGCCTTTGATCTGACTTATCACCAAAGCGGAATCCCCGAATACACTCAAGAACTTAATCCTTAAGTCAATGGAAGCTCGAAGACCCATGATGCAGGCTTCATACTTCGCCATATTGTTGGTGCAGTTGAAACATAATCGGGCAGTGAAAGGAGTATGACAATCCTCGGGAGATATGATTACAGCACCAATGTCGTTACCCAGTGCGTTTGAGGCTCCATCAAAGTACATAGACCATCGGGATCCTTCCTCAAGTCCTTCATCCGATCCAGGTTCTTCACAGTTGGTTACTAACATGATATTCTCATCCGGGAACTCAAAATTCATGGACTGATAGTCATCCACGGCCTATTGCTTTTTGAATTGTATATTGTATGTCGTATACTTTTTGGAGAACTAGACATAATTTATTTTGAAACAATTTAATGATGTTGAAGAAACTTAAAAAATACATTAGGTGCTTGTCCACTCTCAATGTACCGACCATAGTATTCCTCTCATTGGTCTTATCTCACAATTTGTAGTTTATTTCCATATTGGGTTTCAACTTGAATTTTATAGAATTTGAAGGCATCTAATGCTACAGTTTTATTATGGAGGAAATAAACATTCATATATCATGAATATTCATTTATAAAGGTGATAAAATACTTTTTACAATGTGCATCAATGTCTGAACAACATATGTCTGTGTGAATTATTTCTAATAAGTTTTAACTTCTATTGACACCTTTTTTATACATTGTAGTAGCCATAAGTACAATGTCTATGACCTTGATGTGTCAGATGATCAAAGCCTCAATTTGGGAGATATGTGAATAAGTTATGAATTTATGTAACCTTTTATTTACATACTTATAGTCGTTATGGGTTACTTTGGCCACCTAGAACTTCATTACTTAGTTACTTTTCTTTACTATCTTGTTACTCTCCTATTTGGAACTTGACAGAGTGACATACTTTCATGGCCTTTATTATTATGACAGTTAAGCTAAATATAGGAAGAAGTAGAAAGCATGCATATGCAAAGTTTTATCTTGTGTTGTCTAAAAAATGGTATAATAAAATACACTGAATCAGTGTTGTATGTAATATGTATATCTCTCTAATCAACCATAAAGAGAAAGAAAAAAGACTATAAAACATGAAAACATAAACTTAGTCAGTAATTGAAAGGCTTGAACTGGATCGGTGGCGACCGTGGCGAACCATCTTCAGGGGGAAAAAATTCGGACGGTTTTACAAAGGCGTTATTCTCCGGCCAAACGTCATTATAAGACAACACCGTCTGCGAGTGCCGGCCTAAAACCGGTGAAAAAACTCCGATCGGTTTTTGTTGTAATGTCTCAGGCGTCCGAGACCCTGACGGAATCATCGGAAATGTGTCTTGCAAGAAAGTATCGGTTGGTGTGAGTGGCCACGTTATCTGCGAGAAAAAATCAGACGGTAACGGCGGCCAATTGTTGGGCGTGAGAATATCTGATGGTGTCTGTGGCAAATTCAAGGGTGTTATCGGCGGCAATGTCGCCGGTAAAAAATTCTCAGAATGAAATGACGGCAATATCGCCGGCTCTGGCGATAAGATTCCTGGAAATGGACTCATTTGCACCCCATTATCCAACATCCGCATCATGTCATCGTCCGCATTACTCCAAGAAGACCTTTCTTTCTTCTCCGAACTCGTTCTTTCAGTCGAAGCAAGCCTTGCTGCAGGCGAAACTTCACTCAACCCGGTAGGTTGTTCTATACCGGTGAGGCTTTGGACAACGTCTTTGAAGTTCTGGGTAGAGACATTGATGACTCTTTGAGGCACGGAATAGATCATGCCATCCCGTATCAGCTGGGTCGGTTTCAACGGTTTTGGCAATGGCGTGTTCTTGATGATCTTACGAGATTCTTTATTGACTTTGAGAGAATTTTGAGGTGAAAATGGACGCTCATTGTTCATGGTGAAATCAAAAGTAAGAATGGGACTGTGTGAGATAGAGAAGCTTGGAGTGAGTCCCAAACAAAATAACTAATTTAATATTCGATTACTAGTCACCAATGACTAAATAGGTATAGTCATTTCTGGTTCTTTTGTTGTTCTCTATAGTCAATAAGAACATAAATCAACTGTCATTTTTTGTCAATTCTTAAAAACTAATTTTGAGAAAAGAATAAAGTGAATAAATTTTTTTAACTGAATAATTTATTTATCATAATTATTTTAATTACTTATGCACTACTTTAATATATACCATTATTTTAGTGTGTAGCCAATAGGGATCAAACCTCTCACCTTAGGTTAGTATGATTAATGCAGCACTTTAAAATTTATTCAGTTTTTAATATTTTAAACTATTAAAATTATTTTATCATTTTTATAATCAAACTATTGTTATATATTATACTTGTCAAATATTTATTTTGAAAATAAATTTATCAAATAAGTATTTTTAATTTCTCGTTTCTAAACAATTTTTAAAATTAAGGGTGGATAACACTACCACTTCCACCCACTTGGACACATAATCAACTACAATCAAGATATAATTCTTTTCAAATGAGGGTGGAAACGGTCCCATGAAATCTATACCCCACACATCAAATAATTCTACCTTCAACATAGTATTTTGAGGCATCTGATTTCTCTTTGAAATATTACTTGTCCTTTGAACCTGTCACATTCCTTCACGATGCCTTGAGCATCCTTGAAAAGTATCGGCCAGTACAAACCTGAGTGGAAGACTTTTGTTGTTGTTCTATCTCCACTAAAGTGTCCTCCATAGTCTGAGTCATGACAAACATTTAGGATATCCCTCTGTTCTTCCTCTGGGACAAATCTTTGAACCAACCAGTCTATTCTTTTTTTATACAAGAATGGTTCGTCTCACAAATAAAATCTACAATCATGCAAAAAATTTCTCTTTTTGTTAGAATCAAAATCGTCAGGTATTGTAACACTCCGTACATATATGTCTAGAATAATTTGCAGTGATGTTAATTATGGTACAAAGAAACATACAATTAGCTGGAAAAGACAAGAAATATAATCCGTATACAACACAATTCTAAAATCGAACATATACAATAAGCTTGTCTTCAACATTGCATAGCGGAATGATAACTTCTATAAGGTCTTCCTGCCATCTGCTCGTCTGCAGTCTTCAAAATTGTCCATCTAGCAATTCAACCTTTTAAACTTGTTCCTGAAAATAATAAGAGGATTGGGGTGAGATTACTAAATCTCAATGAGTTTCTCTATCTTACGGGTTCACTCAATTCTTCAGGGTACATACATTAAAACAGATTCATCACAAATCTGGGTTTTCTCTCACGGCTGGATACAAGTACACAACAATGATACACCACCATTTGAAGTTCCATAACTTCCCAATGAGACAAAAACAAACACATAATTAAAAGCAACTAAGTATGCAAACCCGTACGCGTGTATGAGGAATCCATGAGTAAGTTTACATGCCCTTACTCAGGTTACACTATCACACCCTCGATGGTTTCCACCCGTGCATCACATCAAAAGACTTGCCCCGGTCATAGCACGAGGATCCGGATCATTCCTAACTGGAATTTCATCTGTGATAAGTCCAAGAGTGACATCATCGATAAGGCATCACAACTCTTCCATCATCTAAGCGCATATGATTAACTGCTGGTGCAAAAATGTCATTTCGACAACACGAGTCCATCAGACAACAACCTAATGATCTTTCCTATATGGCACCATTAGAGGTGAGTTTAATCGCGCAGTAATATTGCCTACATGGCGTTAAAAATCCACCATACCAAGCACGCGATGCAATTAAGAACTGGTGGAATGCTGCACAAGGACCCATACAAGCACATCACAATGGTAGTTAAGGTGTATGACATACCGAATACGCAGATGGAATTAACAGCTGGTGGAACGCTGCACAAGGACCCTCATAAGCACATCGCAACAATATAAATGACACACAAGGTCTAAGTCACGAGTGATTTACGTCCTAGTATCTGAGCCTACTCCGATTCAAGCATACATCAAAATCACAACACCGAACATTCAACTGGAACAACGGGAAATCGCAATTTCTTCATAAGATATCACATATTGCATAACGCATACAACATTCCATCCGAACATTCAACCGGAAGGACGTGCAATCACAAATATTCATACGATACCTTATAATGCATAACACACACAACAAATCATGTTATAGAATTTTATCATATAATATAAATTCAACATATTCAGGCATATACACTCATGCCATAAGGGTAATCTATCACTAGGTAAGAGGCGTCTGAATACCTACCATAATACGGGACTGCACTCTAGGGGTTTAAAGTAATTTAGTTCTGTCCAGGAGGACGCGCTAAGCAAAGCCTCCTGCGCTAAGTGCGCTCTGCAAAATATTAAAATTTTCAAGCTTCAGTAAGGCACGCTAAGCGGCAACGTCACGCTAAGCACGATTTGTAATTTCTCAAAAATTTAACTCCCAGTAGGGCGCGCTGAGCGCGGCCCCGCGCACTAAGCACGGTCTTCACCAAACAGAAAACACAAAACTCTATCAGCTCTGTCATGGGGCCTTCAAACCCCAATTCTATCCTCTAATTCAAGTGCCCACCGTATACAAACATGTAATTCATATTAGGAACATGTTATCATCCATAAAATCGACATGCATTAAGGAATTATGTAGTAACTATATCACATAACCCACAATCCCAACATAAACTCCAACATGAAATTGCTTAATTCTACCCCAAGTTTTAGATAAGGAACTCACCTTGGATCACTATAGGTTAAGATGACATCCAAGAATCAATTGAATTCTTCTCTTTCCCAAAACTTCATCTCCATCAACAAGAAATCTGTAACCCCTTCAAAACCTATTTCAGCAAGTATGTTCCAACTTCAAACTCAATTTTCTCCTTCAATACATAAGCTATGATCACAAAATTATACATTAAAATGAAGGGAATGTTGTGAAGATTTTAGAACTTCAAGAATTACCTGAAATGGAGTTATGAGTAAAAAGTTATGGCTTGTTGATTGAAGGTTGTCCCAAGAACTCGTACTGTAAACTCAACTTTAGACCCCTAATTTCAAATGTGATTATCTCTCTGATCATAAACATGCATAAGACAAATCTTATATTCATGTTATATAGAATTTTGTGAGCCTTTTGAAAAGTCTGGAACCATCCTGACCGGAGTTGCAAGCTAAGATATATGGTCTAATTTGTGAGGGCTCTCAAAGTTACAAAAATGGAGTTTAGAAAGGAGAAACATCACTCCTTCTTTCTCTCTCTCTATTCTCTTTGAGTTATAATTTTTACAATCCAAACAAGTCCTTAAGGTTCATGAAATCATGTTTAAAGTCCAATATGCCCTTCAACTTAAGTGTTATTTACAAAGATGCCATCTTATCTAATGCTAACTAGATCAATTTTATTATATTTCCAAATACAATATACTTATACTAATAGAATAGGGATGTTTCATTCTCTCCACCTTAAATAGAATTCTCCCTCTAATTCCTTCTAATCACAGTGATAACAGGTTCCTCGCACCTCCTTCTAACAAGGGGACAAATGTCCTTTACACTTCTCCTTGGCTAAACCTTGCGACTTCATCTGAAAATTGTCTTATCCAAGAAAACACAGTTCTTTGCTACGCTTGCATCCTAACAATCCTGACTTGAATCCTTAATCCTCACATAACATGTCTCTCCCGACATCTTGCCCTAACATACTTGAGAAATAGTCCGTTCAAGGTTCCCGATCTTTACTTACTCTCACCGAGTCTTCATGGTTTCTGAATTCCTGGAAATCCATTTAGTCAGATATTCCTATTCCTCCTTGTTTGCCAAGCTCATCTTTGTTCAGCATAATTACCGATTCCACTTCTTCTTCTTCTTCTTTGGCTTACTTGTATCACCTCAAATCTATACATTTCTACAGCAGCGTCTCTTTCTAATGACAATATTTCTGATTGACTTCCACATGCGTCCAAACAACATCGTATAACCGCTTGTTGAATCCCTTGTCTTGACTTCTACTTCCCAGACATTCAATCGACTTGCTTCCAGTTATCTCCTTCATACTACAAAACTTCTTACTTCAATCCATACTTCAATTCTTGGTTGTAACACTGATACCGAGAATCACAAGGGTGTACAATTTCCTAACTTACAGTCCTTACGCCTGACAATTTCATACAACATCCTATTAGTGAAGAGTAATCCTCACGGTTACCCCACAACTACCGTCTTGATATCTAACAGCTTCACACGAGGTTCTACAAACAAAAGGTGAATTATAACAGTCAAACTACAACCATTGTCCAAGTCCTTATATACGCTCATATGTGTACAAGACACAATCATGAAGATCCTACTCCAAGGAGAATCCTTCATTCTCTTTTCTCAATACTCACAAGTTCGACCATTGTCCCAAGAATATCTTATAACATATAAACTAGAGTCTTTTCCATGTTGGTCTATCGACAAAACTTCTCTAGACTATGGTGGATTCTTGAGAGACTAGGATGAATAAAATATTGCTCTATGGGTTTATATTAGGAAGGTTCCTCCACTCAACAGTGGTTAAAAGTAATTTGTTTGCTCCTACTACAAGCTTATCTGGTTCTTCTTTTATCCGTCGTGCTACTCTGATCTCAACCCGTCATACATCTCTTGAAACCTACTAAGTCACACTTTCTCCATTATCCACTTAGTTTCATTACTCTACTATACTTGGTTCGATCTATTAAACAACAAAAGTCCTTTGTCAGAATTCGTCCAATCTCAATATTCGCTGGAGTATTGAACACACTCAACAAAGACCACTCCTTGATGTTGAGAAATTCCAAAATAAGGCAACTAATGGTTCCATCAGTCTTGGCTAGGTTCATGAATACAACTTTGGTTCAGGATGTCTAAGTCAAACGCTTACTGAA